CGGAGCAGGGAGTCAGACTTGTGACCCATCCACCCTATTCGCCTGATCTGAGCCCCTGCGACTTCTTCCTGTTCCCCAAAGTTAAACAACAGCTGCGTGGACGCCGGTTCAATGACGCCGATGAGGCTATCAAGGCTTACCAGGAAGCGATTATGGCTCTGACTGATCGGATGTGGAAAACGTCCTTTGAAAGCTGGTTCAAGCGGATGAAAACTTGCGTGCAGTGTGATGGTGACTACTTCGAGCATCTATAGAAAGTTGGTTCAATTTCGGTGTGTAGTCTCCTTGATTCTAAAAACTTTCAGAGTGACCCACGTAATCCTTAATCTGCATAATCCGCTCCCTCCAACAGCCTCACCCCCCCCTCGCCATAATCCCGCCTGAGCTACTCTATCGCAAGTTCGAACACTCGGAACTCAACGGAGGTGGAGACTTCATCCGCCCACGTTGAGTCACTGTGCATTCCATGGAGGTACTTGAGGATCGTCTGAATGCGGCTCAAGTGGAGCTATCAGTTCCCGTGGTTCAAGCAGCTGTTTGCGAGAGGGAGGAGCTCGAGCTGTCCGTTGCGTCTTTCGTTATCGCGATGTGAGCGATGGGGATGTGACTCGTTCCCGTCTGTATGTTATTTATGTTCGGTGCCGGTGTCGCAGCTTCACTTCTTCCGTCGCCTGGGTGCCTCTCCTCTTGACGAAATATCAGGTAATATGAACTATTCCATCACACATCGCCACAACTTCTTAAAATAAAATTTCAACCCATCAAAATTCCTCAAGTAATTTTTATTAATTTCACTCGTACATACCAGGCACCATCAAAAGCGCTCATCTGCCAGCCCTTCCTTTCAGTCGATTCCGGGCGTCGAAGATGGTGGGGATCGCGAAGAGATTCCTCCTCCTCGCGTGGAAGAACCTGCTGCTGCGGAAGAGACACCCGGTGCTGACCGGCTTAGAGTTCGTCCTCCCTGCGCTCCTCTTCGGCGGCATGTACTGGATGAACCTCCAACTGCAGCGAACCGACACCGAGACCCAATCGTCCGACCAGGAAATCTTTCCCCCGGAGAACGAGACCGACCTAATGCGTGACTTCGCGTATCGGCCTCGCCCCCTGCTCATCGCCCCCAACGAAACCGACCTGGCCCAGACGATCATCGGCTCTCTCAAGGAAACCTACGAAGGTTTCGTTGAGCAAGGTGAGTATTCCCACAGGGTTTTGATTCTCTTGCCTCTTCTTATCCACTTTTCAATTTTGAACCAAAAAATTATTCTCAATCACAAATTAACGAGTTGAGTTCCCATTTACTATCAGCCCATCAAATGAAGACATTAAACTGCTTGAAAAAGCAATGGATTCCTGTGCAGCTGTGCAGTTTCTGTGAAAAGTAATGCATTTAGAATTCCTGCGTTGAAGAATAATTAGTGCAGAAGCACTTACGGGTTTTACACCTATTTCGGGTCTTTCTCCTCTCGAATTATTATTTTTTTCAATGGATGACTCTTACACAACTTTCTCGCGTATCTCTTGATTGAGATTTGAACTCGCGCGCGTGGTGGATACGACAGTGTCCGTCCACACGTTGTGACAATGGGAAATTTGGTATATATCACATTTCTTCACGTACCCGACAATCATGTGGATGTATCCAGTGAAATAGGTATTAATGAGAGATCCTGCAAAAGGCGACGAAAATTTCGTATATGACTACTAGCGGCCTGCGGCCCGCTACGCTGGCCGTCTAATAGGTTAAAATTATACTAAGGTTTTTATGGCCTAGAATGGCATAGCCTTGCATAGCCTAGCGTGTTAGGCCGCAGAAGACTCACTTTCTCGACTCACTTTTCTGTCAAATCCATCATTTCTGTAATTCGTACGTTTTAAAAATTCGATTATACTAATAATAATATGCATAGTCACGTAATTGAAATAATCATAAAACAGGTACGGCGGCAAGTAAGTTTCTCAGTGGTTATAAAATGCATGCAGATATATAGAACTTCAAATAACTTTGTATTTTTATATAAGTTTTTTTAGCGCCTCCCAGCCAGAATGCATTCTGGTTGCAAAATCCCTTGTTTGAGATAAAAATATTTAGACTCTCGGGTAAAGGGTTTTGAGAGGGAAGCGGTAGAAATTAAAGCAGAAACCTTACGGTTTCCACATGAGCTTTTTCGTCATTCCAAGCTGTTCAGCCCAGAAAAGTACTCCAAGCCCATCTCTATACGTTCATGCAGCACAGCGGCGAGACCACTTTTAAATGCGAATATTCCATCATTTATGTATTGTAGGCATAGGGAGAAGGGTTTCATGCGCATAGACCACTTTCCTTTCCAAATTACAGCAGCCAGTTCACAGAGGAGAAGTGGTCTATGTATATAGACCACTTTTCCGAACCCGGAAAAACGTCTTTTTTGCAGATAGACCACTTTGCCTTTCAGCCCTTCATATAGTAGAGAGTGTAATTAGAGGCGATACTCCGAGGGGTAGGTGAGGTCGAAATATTTCAGAGAACTCTGGTGGCATGTTATCAAGAACACTTCCATGAAGCGTCCTTCGTAGCAGCGGAATCGGGAGTCGACTCGCTCGGGGATTCGACTCAAAGGGATCCCTCGAACGTAACGCGCGCGTCTCGTTGAGTCGGCTGCTCGGCAGTGGAGGAGTTGTTGATGTGCGCACGGTAGGCGGAGGATCGACAGCGGCATCTATATTCTGACTTTGTCAATGAATGGGATTCGAGAGGAGTGTCGCTTCTAGTTATACTCTCTATGCCGTGGATGGCCTGACCTATGGCCTGGAATAGCTTAGCATCGTAGGCCTCGCGCGTTAGGGGTGACAGGCGCCATAACTTTCGGTCTCTTTATTGGAGTAGATAGATAATACTGGGCTAAATCGGAGGCTTCATACGCACGCACGCACGCAGCTTAATTGCTCTTTTTCCATCTGTTTTAACTGACTATTTAGTATCTACCAATACGTGTAAGAAACGTGCAAATTTGTGAGATTGATGTGTGCATCTGCTTCTTCAATGTGAAACCGATGGAGTGGTATAAATGCTAGAGAGAGCGAGGGAGTAACCTACCGCTGCGAAAGCTCGGAAGGTGAGGACGTGACTTGTGTGGGTCGTCTGGTTTTGTGAAATGGATGATTTGATGGCGCATGCGTATTGCATAGGTGCGCTCTGCTGCGCTGAGAATATCAACCCCTATTATGACTCTCCCCTGGGGCCGACAGGACATGCCCGACCGTAAGCCGGCTTAAAACAACCGTAAGCCAACCATATGCCAGTGATGGCGCAACTAAGGCTTATATACGCGTCGACGAAAAGCCATCGATGGCCCGATGACATTTTTTTGACTGCATGTGGGGATTCGTTTCTCGTCTTCACTGTGAAAGAAGGTTACATAGTCCAATGGTAGAGGAGCAGGGGAGGGGGGGGGGGGGGGGGGGGGGGGAGAGCGTCTAACCCTCTCCAGTCATATTGTAGAGCAGCGGCACCACCAACTTTCCAGGTCGCGCCCCCTTATCCTTCCCCCCTCCACTGGTTTCGTATCATCAGAAACTGTAATTTCGGGTAAGTTGGCATGAGAAAGTAAACACGAATATATGGTTTTGTAGTATCAATATAACGTTAACTGAGAATAATGCAATTCCACAAAATAAAGACCGATTCAGGATTCAGCAATTCCTAGATTTGTGGTGCTTTCTTCATTTCTTCCATTTTTATTTAATTTTGAATCCTAAAACTCCTTATTTCCGAGGAAAAAGGCTATGTAAAGTTCGCGCCCCTCAATTTGCGCACCGCTGCTGTCGAGGTCATCCTACCTATCTAAACTGTGCAACTTTCTCCCCCCCCCCCTCCCACCGTACTTTATGAATTTCGTGACTTATCCCCCCCCCCCTCCCCATTCCAATCCACCATACTCCCAGAACGTCATATTAGTGGGCAATTCTATGAATTAGTTGACAACCTTATTATAAGGGATCGCTTCTTAGAATTTACCGAGCGGAATCCGCTAATTCGGGAGTCTCATCATAGCAGGTTTCTCCTCCAATCATTTTTATGGAATTTCCCCATTTCACAATAGATGCGACGTATGAAGGGAATCCCGTCGACCTCGTATATTTTGACTTTCCTTAGCCTTTCAGTGGGTCCGTTCCTCGCGAGATATTACGGGATAAGTTGAAGGCACGAGGTAGGGTGAGTAGCTGGATAAGTCGCCGATTGTCGGGAAAGCAAAGAGTAACCGTAAATGGGGAATTCATTGGAGGAATGGGGAATTCATTGGAGGAATGGGGAATTCATTGGAGGAATGGGGAATTCATTAGAGGAATGGGGCCACTTCTTGGGGCCACTTTTGTTTTTCGTCAGCATTAGCAATTTAGCTCGAGAGCTCGTGTGTAACGGTAGTAACTTTTCAAACTACTGGAAAATTGGGCTCGTCTTCTTGTCACCTTAAAGAACAAAGTGCCGCCTCTTTCCGGACCTCGACCATCACAAACCCCATTTCCCAGATTCGGTAGACACAGACAAACGGTGCCCATGATGGGAGGATGAAGGGTTGTCTATTTCCTTTGAGGGAAGGAGGCCGACAAAAAATGGTCAGGGTACTTGGGACGGAACGGAACAAAATTCTTCCGTCTTTGGGAGATGTTATTTTCATTCCTCTGAAATCTGTGAATAGCGTTCCATATTCCATTCCGTTCGTGATTTTTTCTTTTCGGTTCTGGTTTTCCGTTCCGTTCTAAAGCCCTGGTTAAATTGGAGGTGGGTAGTTTGCCCACCTGTCAGGAGTGGGCTTGTGGCGGAAGGTCCATTTCAAAGTTAGTGCGAAATGTGGTGCGTGTTCAATTTTTGCTTTCAATGCTGGAATAATGAAGCAGGACGAGAATGAACATGAAGGCTGAAAAGTTATTCTTCGTTTATCATGGCATCATCAGAGCTGTGGTGTAGACAAGTGGAGGACGAAGGCCGCCAAAACAGGAATACGAAATGCATGCAGTGGCGGTTTAAAGGGAAGGTGGGGGGGGGGGACTGTGATTCTTTGTTTCACTTTTGCGAGAGTTTCTCTTGCACGTTTCACTTGGGAGAGTGTTGTCATACGCGTCCATAAGCGATAAGGAGGAATTGATAAGATCTGCTGGTTAAAGGTAGTGAGTGGCCTGACGACCCATAGACACGTAGGTCCATCGCCTCCTCTCCCTTTGCTCCTTTGCTGTAACCCTACGTGCTTAGCACTCTTTGCCCCTCTACAGGGGGAAAATGAATCTCTGGTTACGCCACTCTCCATTTAAGATAAAAGCGAGGGTGTGTGGTCATTGAGTTGAGGCTGCCCCTCTCGGCAACGGAGGAAGAAGAGAGCGAGGTTACAAATCCCGATTTTCTTTTCTCCCCTTCCAATACTCCGCCTCCCTCGCCCTACGAGACAAGGAAGTGAGGTGCGTGCTGAGGCCTGTGGCCTCTAAGCAAAAAAGCAGTTGTTGGTGCCGAGCAAGGAATGAGCCAGGAAGGTTGCTTCTCGGGGCAGTATTTCGCGATTATGCTAACTACTGTATTTCAAGTTTCTTCATTGCAAAATTAACTACTGGGTGGCCCATTTAAGTGGAAACAGGAATAAACCAACATTCATAGTATATGTTCTACGTATCCACAGTTGTTCTCAATGCATTTTATAACCACTTTATCCATGCTTGCTGAACATTTTAACAGATATCTGGCGCAATTTGAGAACAAGCTGTAGTAATTCTTTCTTCAACCTGGAAAAGTTAATTTATTCTTATGTTTACACTTGAATGGGGTGTCGAAGAAAAATTATTCCCTACTAATTCTAGAAATGCACACTTAATCCAAAAACCTTACTTTTTTACTTTTAATAAAAATTTTCTTAATTTTAATTTTAATTTTTAGTTTTTAGATTAAGTGTGCATTTCTAGAATTAGTAGGGAATAATTCCTTTCGGGAAAATGTTAAATTCATGTTTTTTTGAAGATTTATTTCCCTACATGAAGAGATTATTGAAACTCTATGACAAATAAAACAGTAAAGTCTTTCAGTTCCTCCTCCCCCAAAATTCATCTACACTACGGCACGTGGGAGCGAAACTCCGCACAAAATCCGCAAACCTCTCGTTTTCCAGGCTTCTAGAGTCGCCTCAGGGAGGAACTGCTGGGCATGCCTAACATTGCAATTGAAAGAACTTGAATAAAGGACTTTACTTTCACCTATGAACAAGCGTTTAAAGCTGTAAAACCATATTGCTGAAGCGCGTTGAAGAAGGGGTGGATTGGCCAATGAATCGTAACCTTACAGGATAATTTAACAACTGCATATACCATGAACAGCATTAATTAGCGGACGACACCAAAATGAGTTTATCTACCAGGGTTGAGGAAGATTGGGCGAGAGCCGAGCAGGATTCACTGATTTTCAATGAGTGGAGTAAGAAAAGGCTCGTTTAATACCGGGTGGCCCCAATAAAGCGTCCTTTTTGTGCCTAGAGCTTACTAATAAAATTCCTAGATTTGTGAATCTTTTGTATCCCATAGAAAAAGCCCGGAAATTGGTATAGTCAAGGTTTTGAATTCTCTTTATTTTTTGAGTAAGGAGCAACAGTGATTGACTCCAAAGAATATCGATGATTCGATAGGAAACTCTCATTATTTTCTTCCTTCTCTAGTCCTCTCGCTCTAAGCTCACCATCAAATTCACCTTCTCACCTGAGACCTACACTCTTAGAAAAAAGTGAGCGATATTCGAGAAAGGGAGTGAAACTGGAGTTAGCGGTTTTACTCCCTAGAAACGAGGAAGTGCAATCGATAACTGCTCCTTTATAACAGCAAAATCCATATCTTTTTTAAGAGCACGAAACGAATGAGGGAGAGTACTTTTCAAACTAGTGGGAAAAGTTAGCGGTTGTTCTCAGGAAAGAGAGAGGTGAGCGGCTGCACTTCCTTGGTTTTAGGGAGTAAAGCCACTAACTGCAGTTTCACTCCCTTTCTCGGAAATCGCTCACTCTTTTTTAAGAGTGTAGAGACATACACCATAGAGAATACCATGACACAATATAAAAAAAAACAGCCTTCATGGTTCAAAGAGAGAAATCTTTTGAGAGGGACTGAGACTCTTGCGCGGAAAAGTTACGTTTAATGACTACTTTGAATGACTGTCGGCTTTTATTCAGGCAATCCAGACATACGAAACCTTCAGGTAACATTTGTAGTGTTCCCAATGCGATGCCAAAAAACCACGAACCAAGATTTTCCACAATCAGTTTTATAAGGTGTTAAACAAAATTGTATTTATTTTATTATTATTACTATTTTTTTGCAAAATGGAACCAAAGTTCTCGCAAGCGCGTGCGATGGTAGCCAATTGTAACAGGATTCTAGGAGCAATCCAGCGTTTCATAGTCAATAAGAGCTCGTGCGATATTCTTCCGTTGTAAGCGGCGTTGGAAAGACACATTATTAGGGTATTAGTTAGTAAAAAGACAAAAAAAGAAAAAAAAAAGCCACTGAAACATGGTCACACCAAAATGATCTGTTCTGTGAGGAAAAGACCTATCTCATGTGGGCACTCGATCTTGACCCCAGACATCCTTATGGGCTTAAATGCCCCTGGCGTTCCTCCCTAAACCTTGGACCAGTTCCCCTTCTCCAGCAGCAAAATTCGAAGAGTCTCCAGATTATGGGTTCTATGGTCTGCATCTGAATGGGCAAGGAAGATGACGCCAAAGAATTATTTTAACGAAGTTACGTTGACGTTGACTTCAGAATTTATTTTGGCCTGCCATCATGATTATATCTCTGAGGGATCTCGAAAAACTGTAGGAAACGTTGTGAAGGTACCTCTCACAGGTTGTGACTGGAGTACCAGCCCAGGTACAGTTGTGCCATTCCGTTGGCCACCATTCCACTGGGGCCAATCTACCTCCCCGGAGAAATCGGAGAAATCGGAGAAAGTACGCGATAGTTCGCGCCTTTGCGTCGCGTGGAAATCGGGAGAAAACGCGTGCAATGCCAAATGTGGCATTTGACCCAGCAACTCTGTCTTTGTTGCCACAACCAGCCTTTCAACCCCCTTCGTATCAGCTATGGATCCGTCAGTTGGAAGGGAACTGGCAATTTTTATCGATGACTGACACCCCAACAGAGGCTGAAAGCCCGCACGTGCACAAGTTCTCCTGTTGCTATGGGAACTGCTGACAATGAAAATTAAAACAGGGGGAATAGTGAGAAACCGACCGCAGCATATGCTGAGAGGTCATTCTGGGAATGACAGAAAAAATGTTTTCTTAAATCGAATGGACGATTATGCAGCTGTAGAAAGAAGGCATACTTAGTATCTTGTTTCATGGTGTATTCACGGATTACCATTTGTGAAGGAAAAAGCCTGCAGATGGAGACTATGATCATCAGATTCATCGACCGTCTCGACAACCGAAATTATGCACGCACGATGATGATCATGTTGACCATCATCTTACAATAAGAGTACTTGATAGTGTAATAGACTTGTTCCCACTTTCGAACCGTGGTTTCATTTCGCTTCGTGCAAGATGCAGGCTAAGGAAACCCTAATTCATTCTGACGTGAAATCCTTTCCTTCCATTTAGATGAAATCCGCACCTTTCGGACGGAAGAGGAGCTCTTGGCGTACGTGAATGTGAACCATATGTCGGATTGGTCGACGCCATCCGCCATTGTGTTTGTCGAAGGCGACGAGAAAACCTTCCGGTATAAGATTAGGAGCAATACCTTTTCCCAAGGCACCTCCTTGCTCTTTTCGGAATTCCCAATGCCTGGACCCAACATAATAAACGATGGTAAGTAAAAAGTCCTTCCTCTTCTTTTAATCGATGGCCGATTCTTTTGACCAGTAGGAATAAGTTTTTTCTTTAGATTCATGACGAATAAGCAATTCCTTGAATGGTATTGACATTGATCGCAACAGTGAGAAAAGAAAACGAATAACGATAAAGATGCGGTAGATTTTTTCCTCTAATTTTCAATAGCTATGAACTCCATACCGTTGAAATTCCCTCACGATACTTTCATCAGCTACCTGTTGAAGCATTTACGATACTCAGACTGGGGTAAACTACTCAGCTATGACTTAACACGCAAATCCAAGGCATGACTGCACAAAATCCTCTTCCCTCGCAAGCTTTGACGAGAGAATATTTGCCTTGAGGTGCATTACCTGTATGGTAGCAAAATTTATAATTTAAGTAGGGTTTGTTCCAGTTGTCGATTCAGGGCTTACAGGGAAGCAGTTTTTTGCTCAGCCAGCAGGACGCTGAAATGCGAGATGTACTTTTTTTTTACCGATCATGGGGAGCCTGGGTAGGGAAGATGTCACAACATGACCAGCCCGTTGCGGACAAATTTTCTCAGGTGGAGCAACCTTTGATGCTCAATGGTATTGAACATGGAGGGATCTACCTATGATATTGGTCAACCATTGCTTCTCCAGCTTAGCAAGGGGCAACAAGTATCGCAGTGTCGTCCCTTATGGAAAAATCCTATAGGATCCTATAAGATTTAAAAAATAAATAAAAAACTCATAGGATTCCTATTGGATCCTATAAGAATCATATAAGATTTTTATATTTCAAAAATCTCATAGGATCCTACTAGATCCTTTCGTAAGGGGTTGCTGTGACTACATTAGCTCCATATGTGTCCAACTCAAGAATATCAATGTGTAAAAAGAAAAGGATATACTGTGTAGCCCATTAGTCAGTTTACCGAATGATTTTCACTATACTCATTTCTTATTAGCCTAGTTTGTTTTTAATGTTGCGTGATATCAATGTTTTCGACCCAAAAGTCCATGTCTACACAATCGGGTTGCGAATAACTCTTTGCAGTGGGCTATCTCGAAACTTTCATCCCTCTGCAACTCCTCGTGAACAGTGCCTGGATCCGAGCCAAGAATGGGTGGGACCCGTTTCATCTCAATCACACCGAGCCGATCTTCAAAGACGTTCTGGTATGGGGATATATTACAAGGACTGCTAGGTGATTGAAGCATTCGATAGCTTCATAATGAAGCCCATTTACTCGACTAATGGAAATTGAAACTGACCCTAATTTCCATCTTAAATGCAGCGAATGAAAGCTGATTCTCCACGCAGATCTCGCTCATTTCAGAGTGTGTGCTTGTGTTTCCCTTTTCCAAGAATATAGCACACATCTTATTGGCCTAAAAGGTAGTCATGCAACAACGAAAGGCTTTTTCGAGGAAAAATCTCATTTGATCCTACTAAGTAAATCCTCGGTTTTTAAGTCTTTTGCGAGTCTACTCTCTATGCAGTGAAGTTTAAAATAAAAAAGCCCAGGAGATTTCGAAGTCAATAAAAATTCGAATAATTAGATCAAGTTCTTAAATCGCAATGTAAACTTCAATCGAATCAGACCTAATCGAAGTCACAGCTCTAAACTTTACCTTTTTAATTCCTCGAGTATTCTGATGAACCACAACACGGAAAGGAAAACGTTGCTTATGCTTATGACCTCATATGTGACTGTTCCTTTTCGTTTCGAAGTGGAAAAAAAATTCCCTAAATCTAAAAGTCGCAATCTTAATTTTTTTTTAGGTTTTAGAACCTATGCACCCTGTCCTATTTAACAGAAATGGGAAAATATTAGTCTCTCACTACCATAAAAAAGTATAATCTCTGTAGTTGCCTTTGTTTCGCCCATTTCTATTTCTCCATTTTTTTTTAACATTCACGTAATATCAAAGTTCAGCTCAAAGCTCCCACCATATGGCGGACTGTTCCTTCTCTTCACTTATTCATCTTTAAAACAGGTGGGGGTACGACGAATGCCATACCCTAATTACAAAGGGAGTGTCAGTGAGAGCTTCATATCTATCTTGTTCGGGCTGATCATCCCCATGTTCACGGTCTTCGGCTACCTCTTCGTCGTGCCCGTTCAGCATCTCAGCATCGTCCGCGAGAAACAATCTGGGATCAAGGTATGTCCTTTTACTCTAAATTAAGTTCAAGGAGTCTAATTTTAGAAGACCGGATATATACCCTTTATTTTTCCCACTGGGAATGAGAGCAGCAGTTCCACCTGAATTTCAACATTCAAACCTGATGGAGAGATCCGAAGTTCGCCCGGTCTGACTTTACTACCAGCACCTTTTCAATGGTGCAGAATATGTGGGAAACGATGGGATACTCAGCATATTAAAGAAAAAGTTTTAAATATTATTTTATCTTTTTCGTTTGACGTTAAAAACAAAAATGATTAATTTATCTCCACAATACCTGTAAGCATAAAGTAAAGAAGTCATTGAGATTCCGTACAGACTGGAGTGATGTGCATGGAATGGCCAACTAACAAGGAAATCATTTTAAGAACAGTTAAGCCTTGGGTAAAGCCTTTCGCCTGTAAGCTCTGTACCTCACACTGAACGAAGCTAAAAACCGTGGATGTGTGTTCATAACAGGAGCTGATGAAGATGATGGGAATGCCCCGGAGCCTGTATTGGCTCAGCCATTTCGTGAACGGGAGCATGTCCGTCGTCCTAATTTCGTTCATTGGGACCATGTTCCTCAGTGTTGGAGGGATCCTGAAGGATTCCGATGGATTCCTCATCTTCCTCCTCCTTCTCCTTTACGGCCTAGCATTTCTCGGATTCAGTTATCTCATCACTACATTCTTCCATAGATGTGAGTACAAAACTCCCTTAATTGCAATTAATCGCATTTGGATAAAGATACGCGACAGATTATTAATTAAATTCGCCATGTGGGACTGATTATTGAGGACAAACTTTGCTTTTGCTTTGAGACTTTGCTTTTTGAGACTCGGTTTTCCTTCACAACGTGCTTTTTCTATTTATCGCCTAATGACGCAATGACATGCTTCTACCATTAAAAACCAAAAGTGATAGAAATTGAGTATTGGTGTACAATTTCTACGCTTAATCCTTCCCCAAGAAGAATTTTATGCCCAGAGAGAGTTCTTTTTCTTGTTTTTCCGTAACATTCAACTCGGCAGTATTTCTTCTAAAGTTTAATTCGGCCTTGGAATTCATTTGTTGAGGTTTTCAATTTGTTTCAATGTCCTATAACTCCTTCACATTCCTATTAGAATTGCTATTGAAGAACCCTCTGTTTCCAGTCTTTTCTGTTCTAACCTATATTGGATTTCCATTATTCCCGTATGAAAAGTCGGACTCCTGTCTGAGCTGAGAATATTGATCATTAAAAGGAATTGTCGGAGTTTTGGGGAGGGGTACAGTAACCGTTTTTCTCCTGATAAGACAGCCTCCAAACGGAGGCTCCGATTTCTGCATTCAGTGAATTGTATTCGATGCGGCGTATGGAGTCAAACACTGAAGAAAATGAACGAACGAATGCCCTAGTGTTGCTGACGATCCCGCTGGCGATGATCTTGACGCTGGTGACGTACATGGCCCCCACGTTCAGTCTGGAGCTCTGGAGGTTCACGGAAGAGTCGTTGGCACCGGTGACACCCGGCTCCGCCGTCGCTCTCTGCTTCCTTCCCAACATGGCGCTCGTCTTCGGCATCCGCATTCTCGCCTACTTAGAAGGAAGCGGTAACAGCTATTTCGCTCTATCCAATTATTATTTTTTCTTATGAGCAGTTTCAAAATTCAGTCAATGTTACGATTTATAGGGGAAAGACCTAACGAGCTAATGAGCAGCAAGTAAAAAAAAATTGATTCAAAATCATTTCATGATATTAGGGGAAAAAAAAGTTATAAAAAAATTATTCGCATCATTTCACGGTAACTTGAGAGGCACGTCAAAGGCAAAGTCTTTCACTCGCGAACTCAAGAATATCGCATATCAGCCAATCGAAGAGTTCATGCGGTACATGAGACATTCATGATGCAGAATATTGAGCGTGTGGAAATATGTATTTTTACGGTATAAACCAAGACTTCTCAATGCTCGGGCATCAATGGTCGCGGTAGCGCCCATTACCTTTTTTCAACCCTTTCCGGCTACAAAATTCAACCGTCTCGTATTTCTCTCTGAGAGCAACAACAGGAATGAAATTTGGCGTGCTTCTTTCTCTCTCAACACTGAATCGCTCCAGCAAATTTGAAGCTCTATCTCCCCGGGGGTTGCGGAGAACACTGAATCACGCTTTTGGGAGATGTGAATTTCGTTCCGGTAATTTTTTTTCCCACCCACCTGGGTAGTCACTCCTAGGCAGTTTTCGGAGATTGAACTTCCAAATTAAAGATATTGACCTGGAGGTGACAAAAAGTTACATATTTTGCTTTCAGTGTACCATTTCGCCATAAAAAATGAAATTAGATGCCGTTAATTTAGGCTTAGTGCAATGGCTCCGGTCCCGTCCTCCAGTGTTGTCGGATATCATGCCGGCGTTATGTCCGATTCATGGCTTCTTCAGCCTTAGTATCGTTGTCTGGATCTTCTCTTTTTAATTTAGGAAACATTGCTGTTCTGAATTCATGGGGTGAGCTGAGATTGAAACGGTGTTTTGCAGTGGCCGATCAATTTGGTGGAATACGGAGCTATATCTCATCCGACATCCTTAAATTAACATGATGGCGGCCATATCGTTTGTCATGCTTTCTAAAAGCATTTTCTTCTCAGAACGTGTCGAGACGATTCGAGGAACTCTGGATAGGCCTAATGTTCCCCGACCGTACTGAAATGGCTCATGAAACTCGAAAAAGACCTACATTCGATCTAACGTTACACGTTCTCTGTTAAGTGGGCCATGAGTCAGGAGAGTTAGTGATATCAAGAGGCGATTTCGCCCATTTCGATATCACGTGTCGAGGTCGAGCGTTCCTTAATTTTAGGGTAGGCCTAACCCTCTTAAAGCTAAATATTTTTGTATTTTTTTGTATTTTTTTTTTTTTTTTTTTT